GGTTTGGGGGCAGAGACGGCAGTGCCCACTCAATTCTTTTAAGCAAGGCAGCAGGTTTTTCCGGGGAAGCAAAGACAGTCCCAGTGCATCTCATGGGCATGGTGCAATCAGGTAAACAACTAGTATGAAGTTAAAAGCAGTGAGAGGTGAGAGACATAATATTAAGAAAAGCCATGGATCAAAATGATGGTGCAGCTCTGTGCTTGGGTAAAACATTAGAAGTATATTGTTAATCATAAGGTTTAATAGACAAAAGGGGAACAGGCAAATGCAATTACAGAATAATAAAAATCTAGCTCAGAGCACAATAAACAAATAGCTTTTCAATGAAAGAGTTTAGAAGATTCTAACTGCTAACATGCTAACATCTTTAATTAAAGGTAAATTTTTACAAAGTAAGTGCACGTTCATTCTAGCCTGATTCACCTCGCTGACCTCGCAGTGTTAGAAATCGTTCGCTCGACCGGTGGGTGGGTACTTTCTTTATTTAACCAATTGCTGCTATTTGGTCATGACATAGGTAATGCACCGCTAATGTGGTTAACTGGTTTATAAAGCTTTTACCAAATCCCATAGGAAGAAGGACAATAACGTTTTTTCCCTTGATAAAATTCACCAAACATTCTCTTTATTCCAGCTTTAAATCCTCGATCTCAGGAATTGTTGACAACACAGAATGTCTGTCTCTTTGCTGATTGGCTGGTGCCGGGGTTCCGGGGTACTTCCGGGGTTCTTGCAAACCGTCTAGTGTATTCCGATTCATGACCTAGTCGCTGGAGAGAAATTAAATTGAGCAGAGGCACTAGGTGGCGCCAACCTGGCTACGTTCATTCTACAGTACCTATATAAATATGTAAAAAAATTGCCATGGGTGTAAATTTGGTTCTGCCATATTATAATCCACATTTTGTATGGCGAGGGAGGTCAATATTATTATTCAAGATTATTCAATTCAGTTAGCTCAAAATATAACTGTAAATTACTAAAAACACCATTCAAATTAATCTACTTTCTAAAACAGTCAACCTAAATTTTAAGTGTTTATTTAACTGGCTATAACATTAACTTTATCATTCAGAAAGTTTGATCTCACATACTAGAGGAATGGTGATCTAGACATGTCTAGATGTGTGTAGATATGTGATGCATATTCTCTCAATAATTGTACACTAAAATATGATATAGTAACATTCCAAAACTGAGCTGAATCAAGTATAAAGATTGGCGCTGGAATGTAGCTGTGTGTTTGGAATTGTGTAAAATATTGAATTAGAGATAATCTTAATCATAGAGTGTAATAAATGCAGCTGTATTAGACTATGCAATTATAAACCAATTAAAAATAGTCCCATGAAAGAATTTGGGAACACAGTAATTAATCATATTTAATTAAAGGCCAATTATTATCAGTGCAGATTCATTCTATGTTACCCAAATGGAAAACCTAGAGCCAAGAATGTAACTTTTGTCCTGCCAAACCATATATATATCAATTTGTAATCTATAATATATAATCTATATCTCAGAATGTCCTCTGGCAATTTTATTTGCAGTGTTTACAAGACAGATTCAATAGCTTTCCTTGTTTATTTAAGTGTGTGTTTTCAAGGCAGTCTGCATATTATTATATAAGGTATGAATCTTAAACAGGTAATTTTCCGAGCCTCAAGAGCCACAGTGGAGTTAGAACTTCTTATAATCAATAACTCCTACAAAATGCAGCGAATACAAGGTGCAGTCGCATCAAAGATGCATGAGCAGATGGAGCGGTCTGTGCTGCACATTATTGGTTAAAATGTGGGTGTTTCAACATATTTTTCTCCATGTTATCACACAATAAAGTGAAAAAAAAAAAACTAGCAGAGACTCAAAAGGTAAAAAAGAGTGAATAGAAATCGAGGTATAGCTCTGGGGTAACTTTACTTTGGAAATTCTCAGATCTGACCACTGTGAAAACGTGAAATCAAACAACCCAAGAGTGATGGGAGACGCAAAGACAGGAAGGATAGAAAGATAAAAAAACCCATCCGTTTTTCCATTGGAGCGAGAGACGACCTTGCAGAGACAAGCGCGCCGATTTTTAGTCTTTCAAGTCCCACTCACTCACGCTGGCTTCCCTTTGAGGATCAGCCAGAGGGATTGGCGGAGGAGAGGAAAACAGAGCGATGGGAAAGAGGAGAGGGGAAGGAGACACATGAGGAAATGAACAACGAAAGAGAGCAGGATACGGGGACAACCGGAGTTAAACGTTTTACCAGTGAGAGGGGCAGAGTTACAAAGAGATGTCTGAAGATGGCACACAGCCTGCATGGGGACAAAATTACAGGCCAAAGGATCAAAGGAAGAGAATAAAGAAGATAGAAATAGCAACTAATAAAGCCAAAAACATTTGATTGACATTTATCAAATCTACTTTTATAGACAAGTCGAGGTATTGGCTGTGAAGGACAAGAGAACACGCCATAAACGCTTGCTCTTTATCAAATGGGCACTTTTATTACAACGGTGTTCCAGCTGTGGACAGAAGACATACATCTGTTTTTGATGTGTTTTTTACAACTTTGAGAAATTGCAACTATTTAAATGATGACAATAAATAAACCATTATTTGTGGACAAGAAGACAGGCTACATAAATCATCATTAGTGCTTGTGTATAGGCCTGTCACGATAAATTTACTTATCGTTCAATATATGAAAGCTGGAACAATGTTTTTTTGGGGCCAGTATACATCATGTGTATTTTTTCTTTGAATTACAGGGACATTTTGGGTTATTTTTTGGCTATATGGTAAGATTTAAAATGCAAAAGCTTGAATTAATAACTACTATGACTCATTACAGATGCAGACTATGTAGTAAAGTGTTTAATTCTGATATTTATTTATTGCAGCTAATGATTTTTTAACTTTGCTGTACATTTAGAATTGTTTTTGTTGCTTAAATCTGTTGTTGGGTTATTGTTGTGTCACTGGCATAAATTCATGTCAGTATTATCCCTTATGTCCATATTTTCTTCAGTAATGTATATATTGCACTTCAAAATTTGTTATCATGACAGGCTTACTTAAGTACATTTGCTGGGTCTTATTTTTATTGTTATGGGCAATACCGCAAGTTAAAAATATTCACCTTTCTTTCCGCACATTAAGCTGTGCAAAACAAAATAATTAAAATCTCTTCTATGGATGAAGCCTGTCAAACATAACACAGGGGATGTAGCAGGACAGTGAAATAAATGTGTTTTCCTCTTCACTTGGGCCCATGTAAAATAATGGGCACCAAAGGCTAACAAGGGTCAGTAAGGACAACTAGCACTAACAGATCTGCATAAACAGGCAGCAGAGGCTAACACACATCAGCGTGCTAAATTAAGTAGCGAGTAGAAGGCAGAGCAAATGCGCTGAAGCGTGAACATGTAACACACATGCGATCGTTTTGTCTTCAAACAATCGCGGAGCCATACATTGTAGCCCTGGGTCATGAATTAACACACTCCCACACAGCTCACAGAAAGGTGCACAAACACTTGTACAGATCCATGCGGCCTTCATATGCATATGTGTAAATAGAGGCAGCACAAAGAGGCAGCATCAGGGCAGGGCTAAATGTGTTTGGAGGGTTTTTAGTTCTAACATTTTACAGTGTTTTATAGCCTAAGCTCATGCGCCCTCCTCCGCCACCACCACCAACACCACAGTCGCCTGCTCCACTGCCTTCAGCCAGTCTGCTCCTCTCTGTGCCTGTCACGCTACTGGACGAGCGCACTGCCTCCAAGAGGAACTCAAGTTTGATCTGAAGCTGCGCCAAGGTCATTGTAACACGCAAGTACAAGTAATACAGCTTACAAGATATCATAAGTTAGTAGACATCACTATCTGCTTTCCTCTATGGATCTATGAAGATGTTTCAATGTTCCACAGTATTACATGAATTATTGTATCTTGCTTTTATTCAAGTATGGCTGTGTTCACTGCAAATAAAAATAACTCTCCACAAATGTGACCTGTTACTTGGCCAGAGACCGTCCCGTCAAAGCAGAAAAAGTACCATAAACAGTTGGTGACAAACCCTCCAAAAAAGTTCCATACTGCACCAAAAAATATATTATTTTTGATTATTTGATTATCAGAAGTCGCTTTTATTTTCTGGTCAATATACTATAATGGATTTTGTTTTTGCTGCCACACAAGAATACGCTCTTGATTACTTGACAATATAGGTGTACAAAAGACCAACATTATCTAAGAAAACATATCTCCGTATTTGGGAAAAGTGCAGGAGCAGAGTGCACTGAGAGGAAAGGGTGAAGTGTGTCCAAACAGAGAGAGGTAGTGGTGGAGGGGCAGTGGGCAGCAGAGGTCTCCTAACCTGGTGCGACGGTGCGTTTGCTTGTAAATAAACATCAGCCTGAGATTATTCCAGGCACGAAAGCCCAAACCGAAGAGGCCTGGGGTCAGAGAGATCTCCTACAAAGCACATGTATTGGGTTTCCACGCTTTTTGAGGACATTGCATTGACTTGCATTAATTTCCTGGAGACTGATTCTATCCTAAACCACTGTCAATACCTCCCCATTACCCAGACCCTAACATGAACTTTTAAACATGTTAATTCTTATCTTAAATTTAAATTATGCTGCTGATGTAATAATAAAGCATTAACATCATGAGAACCTTATTTCTGACCCCATAATGGAGACAGGTAACTGATTTGAAGGTGTACAGATTTCAGTCCCGACATTGCAATAAATGTGAGCCAAAACTGTACACACTGTACTGCTTCAAATAGTGCTGTATGGCCAAGGACACATGCAAGTAGACTTACATTTAGAACAGCAAAAAGCTATAAGTGTCTAACTGTGGGAGTACCAAGGTTATTTCCTGTTCAGCTTTTACTTTGGAACATAAAATTCAGTGGTATAATGGAGTGACACTGCAGTCATTTTACTCCCTTTTTCAAGTATTTGATTCATTTAGTCATTTGAGCTTGGTTACTTACTGCTCAATACTGGGAGAAAGGTAGAGCTTGGGGAAGACCTGCGTGGCCTCAGCATCTTCAAAACTGACCGACAGAAGAGCCATGTCCTCACCAGGGTCCAGGGTTGTGTCCTGAGGGTAGACAATAGTTCATTAATATCACAGCAATGAGGGCTCTATTTCAGTTTATGTAGACAAGTCCTAAAAATGTGAAGGGGTGCAAAGGAAACCAGGAGAGACACCAGATAAAAACATCTGTTGGTTTTCATGCTACATTAGCCTTAACAACTGCATGAGGCTGAGCTGATGACTGGAAGCACCATCAAATCAAGTGTGAGAGAGGCAAAGGCCACCCGGAGCTGTGCACTGCAAACTTTATCTAGCTCTCCAAGCTCTTCATTTACCATTCTGTGATGTTCTTTTCCTAGAGCGTGGCACTGTCATTAGTGCACTTCTACGTCAAATACCAATCTGGCCTGGTTTCCCTGACAGAGCGTTAATCAAATGTCTTACAGATGGTTTGAACTCATCCAATTGTTATAATCACTGCCCGAGATGGTGAGAGGAAATGTAGCTACAAAGATGATGGACACAGGCAAAAAGCTACCAGTTAACAGCAGCGCGGCCTCCCACATGAGAAGGCCTATTAACTAATTGCACATGTCTGCCCCACACAAAACCAAAGTGACCACTGGAGACAGCCTGTGTGGGCGGAAAACTTCACTGAGCAGATTTTCTTCAAATCAAGTGGAATAATATAGTATCTTTTGCATGTACCCTAAGAATTACAATTGGTAAAATTAACTACTTACATCTTGATGGAGATGGAAAAATATATATAATGCAACAAGGGTTAGTTGAAGTTCAAATGCACAGTATGACACTTCATTATATCACAAAAAACCTCCCCGCGGCAGTATCAAGGCTGTTGAAGATGAAATATAGATTATTAGCATTAAAGAGTGTTTATTTGAACTGAAGCTTATTGAAGCCCATACACACAGCAGGGCTCTGTGGCCTGTCCCCTTGTGCTCGTCTCTGAGACTGCACTAGGCTGAAGGAGGCGACAGTCAAAGATGCAGTGAGTGTGGCATCCAAAAGTGTTGCCTGATGAAATCAGCTCTCATCAATGGACTGAGCTCCAGTAAACAAGAGCGGCCTCATGGAGCAGGCGAGCAGCGCTCAGGGCCTCTACAGCTGACGATATGAGACAGAACAGACCCCAGACGACGAGTTGGGCGAGTGGGTTTATAGGAGATTGTTTTGCTTCAGTTTGTATCTGTCAACTCTTATTTTCATCTGGAGCTTATTTAATAAAAGTTTCTTCAGGACTGGGATGCTGTAAACATGAGATGAGAACAGTTTGGAGAGAGAGGCACACTGCAGCTGTAGTGGCTCTAGACTGCGTCAGGCTCTGGAGGAGAAAAGCCTTTCTGTGGCATGATGCAAACTTGTCTTGTCTGACTGGACAGCGAGGGACTGTCACAAGTCATACAGCACCAGTCCACCAAACTACAGGCACACCCTTAAACTTTTAGCTAACATACAATATAAAAACTCTTGCATGGTTAAAAATAGACTTAATTTCTTGAGAAGGCTATGTCAAACGACAAAGCACAAAGAGAACCAGATTAACACAGAACAATATTCTGTATGATAAAATCACAAATGCTAAACTGTGCCCATAAATAAATGGAATGTTAACATTTCCATCAAATATCTGATTATAACTCCAAAGCTTGGGAAAAGTCTGTATGAGAAGAAATGTGACCTTCTAGGCCCTTTATTCAGATTGATACAAAATGTATTCCCCTCAGTAATGAAATGAAGCCCCAAACGGCCATTAAATGCAGTGTACACACTTGTTATGTCTTTTGAACTAAACAGACTGGAGGGCAAAGCGTGCTTATGTAAAGATAACAAAGGACTCCCATTAAAAATCCTGACTCCACAGGCTACAGGCAGGGTCTTAATGAAGTGCGTCTTCATTGTGGAGTAATGAGCCCTGAAAAGCCATGCTCAGACCACTGTCCTGCAGGGAAGGTGCAGACACAGAGGCAGTATTTACTGAGCCCCTGGGCACAGTGATTCAGCTGCTCGAGGACTAGTTTTAAGTAAGTACAAAGTGAGAGCGGAGATCAAGGTTAGAGGGGGCCTGAGAGTCCACCACTCTCACCACATCTCTGATGCTCCTGACTCCTGGAGACAGTCTCTGTTCTTTCTGTCCGCTCTGTGTCTGCTGCCCTGGCCTCTGGCAGCTCACTGTGCTCCATGTGACAGGCTGGAGATGTGACAGCTGTCCTTATGCCAGACCAAGTCTGGCCAAAGTCACAGCACACACAACACACAGTGATGGGCCCCACTGCAGGGGAGTGGAGGAGGTAAGGGCACGCTGTCCGCCTTCTTCACCCAACTTTAAATGTCAGGCCCAGTGTAATGGGAGGCATGACTGACAGCGGGATTGTTGTGTGAGGACATGTCCAGCTCCTGGGCCAGCTGTGAGTGGCCCTGTGCATATGCTGGACACACAAGAGGATGTAACCTTCTGCTCCAGCAACAAGGGCCACATGTGTCTTACATCTTTTGTTCTTTAACATTGAAGGATTTTAGTCATTAACTTCAACACACTAGTCTTTGATACCATTTAGTTTGCTGGAGTAAACAAATTAAACTTCAGCATGACTCAATCAAAGTAAAAAAAAAAGTGGGAAAATGTATTTCAATCTAAAATATCTGTTTTGTGTTTACTGGAACTTGTTTGGTTGAGTTTTCTGCCATAAGATGAAGAGCATCTCTAAGGATCACAGGCTTAAGGTGGCTGGAGCCCAAATGTCTCTTCCCATGATGCGCAGTGCTGTGATTGAGGCCAGTTAAAGAGATAGTTCCTAATTATGTAGCTGTGCTTCTGTTGACAGGAATGTGCTGTGACGCTCTGATGGGCTGTGATGAAGACAGGAAGGCATTTATAAGGTCACAGAAAGACTGAGTGCATTTCTAAGATGGCATCCTCTGTTAATCTACAGTTGTGTTTCATTTGTGTTTGGGGGAAAAGCTAACTAACTTTATTACTGAACAACTAAACTGCGCACAAAACATTTAATTACAGTTAGGTGAATCCACGTGCTAATGTAAACTACATATCTCATATGTGGCCATTTACTATGAAGTCTTCATCAGCCTTTGTGAAAAGGCTGGGACCTGGGCCAAATCCTGACTGTGGTGGTAACAATAACTGGCTGGTGACCAATGGATGTGACAATGAGCTGATAATATTACACTTGTACTCGTCATGTGTGACGGTGGCCAAGAGTCAGTGATAGTGTGTCAGTCAGAGCATGCTCTGTACATATCAGTGAGAAGTGTGAAGTACGGGCTGGGAGCCACGGGCGTGACTCAAGTATGTGCATTTACATGTGTAGGACAGAGGAGGAATAAATGAACATATACTATGATGTATCCAAAATAAATGAATGAGATACCAACAGGAAATAGACTTGGGTTTAGGGCAATAGATTTTATGTTAACATTTTTCTAATTTTAAATATAATTTGGACAGATTTAGACATAGATAAGTATTAATTATGACTGAGCAACCTCACAGTGGAGAGTTGGACGCAGTTTTTATCCCAAATAGTTGATAATAAGATCTCTCTGAACTCTTGACCCTGTATGACACTGTGGATATTTAAACATGCATAAACAAGAACCAAATAACGAAAATGTATCTTCTTTTGGAGAGGGAACAGTCTAGAGGCTTTCACAGAAGACGATGTTCATTTAGTTCATAAAAATAATTTTTTGTCAGTCTGACCTCAGATGGAACACAAGATACTAATACTGACCACATGACCGATTACTGTGGCTTGTTCTCAAAATGTTAAACGGAAGGGTCAGAGTCAGAACCTTCTCAGCAAATTAATATTACAAAACCATATGTTTTCTTATAGTGGGGGTCATAGAGTTGCTTGCATTATTATTTGAGGGGTCACGGTCATGAGTGTAATGTAAAACTATACTTTGTTGTGAACCACATCACAGAGCAAGTAGTGTACCGATCTCCATACTGCTTTGCAAGAGGCCATTGTTTGTAGATAATAAAAAATAGACAACATTATTATTCCCTAGACATTGGTAATCCAAGGGTAAGCAAAGGCCACAGCTCACAAATGAGCATGGACAGCCAGCATATAGGCATTGGGTTTAGCCTGGAGCCATCACTGTGTTAAACTGCCTATAGGATGCAGAAAACATGCAGAGTGACAAGCGGACTGGGGTTAAATGAAAGATGAATAACATGGTGGTTAATGTAAGAAAAACAAAATGATCAAAAAAAGAAAATTTGAAGGTGTAAAATGGAAAACAACATAAAGATAGTTGATCTGGAGCGCAGGCGGAAAGTAGGCCAGATGGAAGTAATCCCACAGAGGCGCAGAGAGGAGGAAGAGTTGGTGGGGGGCTGGGGGGCTCTCTTGAGACTGGATACTAGAGATGTGATGCTCAGCTGGGGGTGCGGGCAGGTGGGTGGGCTCTGAGTGCAGGGATGTGTGGGTGGGGACAGGACGGAATGCTGAAGTGGGTGATTGGGAATGGCAGATTCACAAGGGAGTTGTGACCTTTGACCTTTGGTATAGGAGATCACACTGGGGTGAACTTGAGTACAATGCATCGTAAGTTTATAATTTTTACTTTTAAAGCAATTTGCTTTGATTAATCAATTACCATGTTGTATTCTTCTGAAATAAATTCAACCACTCTTCACGGGGTGGAAAATAAACTATTAATTGTCCATTTAGGAATCAATCTGCATTGTACTTTGGATAAAAATACTTCAAGCTTATCAAGAATTATGGAGGCAGTAGCAAAACAGTGGCTTAGTTTTGTTGTTTATACATCTACATTTTTGTGTTTAAGTCATTCCTTTCGGGCCCTCAATTTACTTTTTTTTATTTTGTTATGCTGTTTCTGTTTAGCTCTTTTACAAATTTTGTTTCTTTAAAAAACAAAACACTACAAAAAGAAGACTAGACATTCCTTTTTTGGAGTCCAGGAAAGAAAAAATGATGCACTACGTGGTGAATGGGCGTCCATATGAGACACACTGTATGAATGTGTTGAGTCCATGTCTGTCATCA